GGTGATAGTCCTAGGAGTTGAAAGTCATTGATAAATATAGGAAATTTAGTTTCTCTTCAGAAGATCCTTCTAGGATATCTAATTACTAAATTCATTATAATTCCCGATTGTAGCACTAGACAATCTGGACAAGTCCAATGGCTGTGAACAATTATGCAAATTACTGTAAAATGTCTTTCTAAATTTGTTTAATAACTTTCTATTTTATAAAGATAATGTGGCTTGACTAATGAAAAATGAATGAAAACATCTGTTTGCGGTCAGTTTTTGTCTTACAGGTTTCAAAAGCGACAGAGAAAGCTCTGTGCTCAGGAACACTACCAGCGCTGGCTTCTGGCAAAATTTCTAAATTCATGGAAGGTATGTATGGTCACTGTGTGAGGTACCTCTTCTTTTTTTTTTCCGGTCACATGACAAGAATAAAAAATAAAAACCCCCAGTGGTGAATAAATACCACCAAAAGAAAGCTCTATCTGTCCCCAAAAAAGGGTATAAAATTAATTTCAGTACAGCGCTGCATGACGGAATAAATGTCAGTCAAAGTACCGCAGCGCTGAATACTGAAAAATGGCCTGGATGGGAAGGGGGTTTAACACCGCGGATGTCAACTGGTTAATGTATATAGAGCACTTCATAGGCAATTGAAAATAAAAGGAAAAAACTCCACGCTCAACTGTTTCTGTCTTAACTGCTTTTACCTTTGGTGCCTGGTGGAATATTGCATTACTGTGTCATTTTCTTCCCTTCCCCATTGAGCATTGCAGCAGGCACACTTCCTGTCTTCAGAATCCCTGCCTTCCATGGACTCTTTTTAACTTGCCTGGGTGCCAGTTGCTGTTCCTGTGTCTTGCGTGGTTCATACAGCCAGTTTTATCTTAATGGGAAGGAGTTATTGCAGAGCCCGTCCCCTGTGCACACTAAATGCTTAGACTCCGGTGCTGCAGCTAACAGGTTGTTGTGTTTTATCACTGCGGATAACTATTGTTTTAGGTGACATAAAACAGAAGTCCCCAACTTGCGCAACTAGATCGATTGTTTATGGACTGTATATTAATAGTCTTTAAGGAGCTTCAGTTATACTGGTAGTTTATCTCCAGAGACGATGTATGCACTGATCCTGCAGCCTGGTTAGTTGGATAGGGAAACATCCATGTAACAGCACTGTGAAGAAAACCGAAAATCCTGGCACACGGATCTAAGTGCAGTATAAAAGTGACTGTTTTGGTTTAGAAGCAATGCACAGGATTTTTAACATCTCACCTGTAACGCATCAGATGCAAGTCTGATCTCAGCTTCTGGTCCAAGAAGGGAGCAGAGCCCAGTCCAGAAAGATTCCAGTACACGTGTGCTGGAAGACACAGATCTGATCCAATGGCTGAGCAGTGCTGTAGCTGGTTCTCCTCAAGGCTGTATCACAGCTGCTGAGCACTTCCAAGTCGTCAGGTGTCACACATTACTAGGCAACGCATTTCAGAGGTTCACCTCCTTTGTCAAGCCTCTTTGTCTTGGGTGATATGTGCTGGGTTATTCACTTATACAGTAGTAGTATAGTAGAGGAGCTTGGTGTGCTCAGCAGGGCAGTGTGATATAAGCTGCAAACACATATAACACAGATATGATGAACTGAAAATCCCTTTTACTTACCTGTTGCACCCTCCATGGACTCATACAGATGGCCTGATATATCAAAGTGCCATTGAAGCCTACCTATTTCTCGCACTGCATTAGTCTGGGATAGAGTATATAGACACAAGACACCCTGCAACAGTGAAGCCGAGTCAAATATCCCTTCAGTTTCTATGACCAATTCAGAAAAAAGCTGGATGCCCATCTGGTCTTTGACTCTGTGGGGAGCACACACAAGTGGCATGTGGAAAGTTCCCCTGCAATGTATTCGCAGTAATCACTGTAACAGTGTGCTGCTGCTGCATAGATTCTATCATGTTATACTGAGTTTTAATAGTTGTTTATGCTGTATATGTTCCTTCATTTGCTCCACATTCTTTACAGCTTTATCATAGAAATTCTAAGGACATATTACAGACAGTGGTGACTAAAGAGAAGCTGTACAAAGATGCTATCCTCCGGTAAGATCGTCTTATATGTTAATGACCTGTAAAGAATCCTTTTCATTCTTCAGCAAAAGCGAAGTGTCTCTTTGATGCTATTCCAAAATGACATAAGCTGCATATTGGCCATCTAGATCTGATGTTGTATTTATCTTCTTAAAGGATAATTGGATGGGTTGGGAAGGGGCATGTACTGCATATAGTTTCTTTTTGTATGTTTAGTTTCTTTGTGTTTTGCTGGGTTACATATGACGAATTCTGAATTAATAATGCTGAAAATGAAAAATACAAGGGTGAGCTTTTCATCTGAGCAAGTACATGCCGTATGCTTGTTACACCTTTTATACATAAAATTTGATGCCAGTGGAGGTGCATTACATGTGGTTGTGATTTTCCAGGGAGGCCCTGCACACTTGGCGAAGTCACACAATGGCTCAAACTGAGGAGAGAAAGCAGACACTCCTTGCTGTAAATCACTACAGAACCACCACACTAAAACAGGTACATTGTCATATTTGCCTGACCTTTGCTTGTTAGATAATGCACTTCTAGTGACATGGATGATTTGTAGGTGATGCGAGCATGGAGAGATGCAGCGTGTGTTCAGGCATATAACAGGGAGCAGATGGCAGAGCAAGTCAGTGAAGCAGCTGCATGTCTACAAAAAGGTAAGAATGAATGTAAGGTGAGAATCAATGGGAATGCGTTCTGCATAGACCTTACACGCTTTATTTTCTAGGAAAACTTCAGCGCATGTTCTTGTACTGGAGAGAACACGGCAAAACTACTAAGGTTCTGCGAGTTAAGATGGAGATGGCAACCAAACACTATGCTAGATGTTTGTTGAGGCATTGCCTAAAACTGTGGGAAGTCTACCATTCTGTACACTGGAGGAAAATGGTTAGTGGAACAGTAATGTTAAATGATTCAGAGGTAGTAAAGATGCTACACTAAACATAAAAAAAACTAATTACTACTAGCAGTTTGCTAATAGTAGAACTTCTGGTAAAGGTACTAAGGGGAAAAAAATCATGAGTTACATATGGTGCATTTGCCTATATTTATCATTTTATTTAAGATTATGCTTTCCTCTCAATTGTTAAATAATATGCACATCAGAGAGTCAATTGGTATATTGCTGTAATATGGACCAATAAACACTCCTACATGACTGGCTACAAATGAAAAAGATTTGAGAGATCAGACTTTCTGACAAGTAACAAGTACTTCTGGTACTTGTTGTTTAGTAGCTACCCCCCTTACAAGTGTGTAAAAAGCAAATCTCACATGTCCCATGTATGGCTTTCCCTAAACCTTATGTCCTTTTTGTGGCCATCCCTAAAGCCTTATGTCCCGTGTGTAGCCATCCCTAAGCCCTATGACCCATGTGAGGCCACCCCTAAAGCTTGTGGCCATCCCTATATCCTGTGTGTGGCCATCCCTAAGCCTTATGTCCCATGTGAAGCCATCCGTAAAGCTTGTGTCCCATGTGTGGCCATCCCTAAAGCTTGTGCCCCATGTGAACCCATCCCTAAAGCTTGTGTCCCGTGTGTGGCCATCCCTAAAGCTTGTGTCCCGTGTGTGGCCATCCCTAAAGCTTGTGTCCCGTGTGTGGCCATCCCTAAAGCTTGTGTCCTGTGTGTGGCCATCCCTAAAGCTTGTGTCCCTTGTGTGGCCATCCCCAAAGCTTGTGTCCCATGTGCGGCCATCCCCAAAGCTTGTGTCCCATGTGCGGCCATCCAAAAGGCCTCATGTCCCGTGTGTGGCCATCCCTAGACCCTGTGTCCCGTGTGTGGCCATCCCTAGGCCCTGTGCGGCCATCCCTAGGCCCTGTGCGGCCGCCACGTGTCCCGTGTGTGCGGCCGCCACGTGTCCCGTGTGTGCGGCCGCCCAGAGGCGCCGTGTTCCGTGTGTGCCCCAAACCTTAGCAGGAGTTTACTTTGTACTTTATATGATTCATGTCTGCATCTCACTGCTATAAGTGATATTATTATCTTATCATGCTAATTTGCATAGGTTAGCCATGTGGTCGTGCTAATGCATGCATTGCATATTTCCGGTGGATAAACACTAATTAATTTCTTGCAACTAAATAAAAATTGCACTGACTGCATTTTTCCCTACCCCAGCTTTTGCAGCGGCAGCAGAACAACTTCTTCAGACTCAGCCTCAGTAAATCCTGCCTGAGAAAATGGCAGCAGATGGTAAGGCCAATCCACAGTACTTATTAGTGGTATAGTTGTGCAGCACAGCAGATAAATGTAGTCTGACTTGGTTTTCTTGTGTGCAGCTGGTGGAGAAAAGGCGGCAGGACAAGCAGACAATACAAGCCTTGTGGCACTGGTCTCTTAATCTGCAAGGAAAGGTATTCTTCTGCATGTAAAAACAGTAATAAACGTGACCTAAATTGAAGTTTATTAATCACAATCTATGTTTAGGTGTTTGATTGTTGGCTGACCTATGTTCTTGAGCGTCGGAGAAAAAAGCAACGACTTGCTGAGGCTGTGGAAGTGTACCGAACGGACCTTATGCGGGAAGGGGTGACAAGGATTTTGCGTTTTATGTCTGGAATGAAGCAGTACAGAGCTGAGCTATCCACTCAACATCAGTTGAAAGTATGTTCAGCTACTTTGAATTGAGTCATTTGCTTTCTATTAAAAGTTTGGGATTTGTACTTGTCTTAAACCCCGAACTGAATAGCCCAGATAACGTGTTTGGCATAGATCTAATATTTGTCAGGTATTTTGTGATGACTGGTAAAAAGATAACATGTGGGACATTTATAACTTCCCAGCAATAGAAATCACTGACCTCTTAACACAACACTTCTATGCTCCATTCAGCTTATGCCTACGGATTTCAGCTTGCCATTGACTTAGATGCAGTCTGAGAATATCCTAATACGTTTTGTATTTTAGGAGGTATATACACAGAATCGGGCAGTACGTCGCTGTGCCATGATCTGGAAGGAGAAAGTGTTTAAGAAGCGCCTGCAGGTTTCTGTTCAAAAAAAGAAAGTGACTTTCCAGATGCCATTTCAAGATGTACGACATGGGGAAGAGATCTGCTCCTCTACTTCAAAGATTTCTTGCCCATATTCTACAGGCAGAGGCAGTGCCACCCTCCTATTAAGTGGGGAACCCACCCTGAGCACAGTGTAAGGGTTAAATATCACTGTCATTGCTGATAATTCTTTATAGTGTGTCCAGAATTTTCTGTACAGATTTGTAACAAACGGCTAGATGTAGACAAAGTGATAAGACAAAGCAAGATTTGGTAATTCAGCCCCTAACCTCACTCACATAATCATTTCTTTTTTCTTTACAAAAGTACAGTGAGGTCAAAGCGCCTAAAACCTTGCACTCCAGACTTCTTGTTGCACTCCCTGGAAAAAGAAGGGTTTCTTGGCACCATGTTCATGGATGTCCAAAGCCAAGACCTCGGTTCTCAAATGTAAGTCACGAGCTTAATTTATTTAAAAGGTATATGTGGAATTTACAGCTACAGAAGTTAAATATAAAACCACTTACAATTGTATGCAGTGACCCCAGTGCCAAGGACAGCTCTAAGAATTATTCATCAAGTCAAGCTTTACATTTAGACAATGGAACACAGCTGGAACTGAAATCAACAAGTTCTGTTCGTGACCCACCGGAAAATAAACAGGTCATTATTTCCCATGCTGACGGTCTGCAAGCACCTTCATGGATCTCTAGTGGTCCTGTGCCAACAGCATCTCAGACCTGCTCATTGCAGCCAATAGCAGAACTGATGCCTCCTTCTTCCTTCAAGCCTCGGGTTCAAACACAGGTAATAGGGGTAAGTAGAGATGACTGAGACGTTCACTGCAGATTGCGAGAGATTTCTGTTCCAAAATTGAACTGTTTGCCATTGGGACCCAACTCACTACTTGTACATTGTAGCTTGCCTTTGAATTACTGGGAGATGTTTGGCAGTCAGGGGTGCGGGATTCCTATCATCCGATGCCCAGAACATGAATTCCCGGGTACCGGGCAGGTGGGTGTTTTTCTACATTTAGCAAGGCTAAATGTAGAGCAGGGGGAGCTGCTGCTCATTTTGTACCAGTGATTTGGGCGGCTGTACAGCCGGCCAGATCACTAGTAGCAACCTGATAGTCAGTCTCCCATCCCCCCACTCTTCTTGGGGACCCAGATCACAATTCAGGATGGAGAGCCAGGAGCAGATCGGACAACATCCATTCTCTGATCTGCTCTGTGTGATCAGTGAGACAGGAGCGCCGTAGTCGCAGTGGTTCCTGTCACAAGCTGGGCTGCACAGAAGATCAAGCACAGCATTATGTTTTGTATTGGAGGGCAGGCTCCATAAAGAGAACCAGTCACCTCCAAACGCTATCACAGGGGCTTGCTAGCCCCACTGTGATAGCAATAAAGTTAAGTGAAAAAAGTAAATAAAATAAACATTAAAAAAAAGTAATGTAATAAGTAAAAAAATAAACATTAAAACCAACCGCGCCACTTGCATGCATTGTGTGCTGAGTACCGCCCCCATTCTACTTTGTGCCATATTGTGGTAACCGTACAGTAGCGCTCTCTAACACACAATGTACATTTAAAGGGTAAGTTCACTTTCCCAAGTAATTTGGGAAATTGGAATTACCCGCTCAAATCGGGCCCCCTCTACCCCTCAGTGCGGTCACCTGAGAAGCGCTTCTCAATGTGGTTAAATACGGTTTTGGTTTATCACAAGTAAATTGTCATGAGGGACAAGTAGAGTGGGCCGCCGCTTTAGTTCTTGGACAAGTAGTTTGTTTTTTTTCTAAATTTCCACACCCCTTGGCAGTGTCTTTTATATTTTGTTTCTGTGTACTTTCTACAGAGCATGGCCATACCTACCATGACAGAGAGGTCAGAGACTGGAAAGCAGCCTCATTTGAAGCTTGTTTCAGACTACTCCGGCCAGCTGTTATCACCGACTGACTTCCTTCTTGGCAAAGGGGTAAAGGCACGCATCACAACCAATACAGGTAAATTGATGTGAAATGTAGACGTAGTTGAGCACATCCTCAAATATTCACACAAATGTCTTGTTGCTGCAGCCATCAAAAAGAAGTGCTCAGTATGTGATCCTGATGCTTGTCAACTCCCCAGCTTTGGTGGTGAAAGAGTGGATGGAACCACATGTACCAAGTACTCCAGCTATCAGATGGCTGTAGGTCCATTAATATTGCTTGCATAGAACACTTCTGATACCTGGGCTGAGCAGCAGTCGATGTAATGCAGGTGTTAGATATACTTCTCTATTCATAATGTGCGTCTTTGTGCAATGACCACTAAGAAGGGAACTAGGAAAAACTAGAACTGTACTGTTTACTTTTTTAGCTTTTCTTATGAGAATAAATATCTGTATACAGAACAACCCTTTGTATGCATTCTCTTTGCACTCTTCTGTCCAAGGCACCTCCACCTGATTGTTATAACATTACACTAAGTGTAAGGAAGAGATCAGAACACTGTTAATACCACATCTCGGAATCCCCAGGACATCTGTAAAGCCAAAAAATAGGTTTGGCTTTAATTCTCTTAACACCGTAAGGGTTTGTATTGACAGGCTTTGGGTTTGTGTCTATGACATCAGCTGGAGATGCCTCTGAGATCGCTCAGAATTCATTGACGGGTGCGTTTGACCTGTTTTAGGCAGGTTGTGCATCCCCATGGACTTGTATGGGATTGCAAAAGCCCATCAACACAGGCCCTTAAAGGAGAACTATGGGGTCAGTGTTTTTTCCCATAGTTCTCTTAAGGGTCACGGGAGGACATATACTTGCGTCCTCCTGTGACCCAAAGCTCAGTATATCGCGAGCTACAGCAATATACTGAGAAAAATTCCAGCACAAGGGGCGAAGAAGGATCTTTACAGTAAGAGCGGTTAAGGTCTGGAACTCACTGCCATCGGCAGTGATTTCAGCCAAGAGTGTAGATTTGTTCAAGAAACGTTTGGACAATTTCTTGAGGGACCGTAATATCCAGGGATACCAGTATCCCTAAGAATGAGATGATGCGTGGACCTATATGGGTTGGACTTGATGGACGTATGTCTTTATTCAACCCCAAATACTATGCAACTATGTAATTACTGTCGAGATCCACCCAGTTGTGTGAGTGACAGCTGGCTCTGCCTATCTAGAGGCAGAGCCAGCTATACCCTCCCCGTCCGTTCCGCCAGTCAGCGCTGGAGGATCGGAGGGGAATCCCTGTGGGGAGTGGTGACTGACAGTCACGGCTCTCTGCAGGTAGATGATCGAGAAGTGAGCGAGCGACGGTATGGGCACGCTCACTTCATGATCTGTTGAGCCGATGTGTGACAGTTTCATTGTCACACGTCAGCTCGAACTCTAAAGCTGAGTGATTTTCACTCGCCTCATAGTTCTCCTTTTTAATATGTTTCAGATGGATAGTTTGTTTTTTTAATAGACTTTAACACAAGATAGAAGAGCAACACAAAGAATACACAAAACAGTATTGCATACACCATGATTCCAGGAAACAAATGACTAACATCACTTTGAAGTACTGCAGCCCAGATTTGTTCCAAATCCGCTATGAACTGCAAATATATTGGCATCATTTTTATTGTTTCCTCTTCTGGCTAGTAAATGAGACAACTGTACAAGAAGAAGCATCAAGCCCTTTGCTAAAAGCAGAGGAGACACGGATTGCTGCCCTTCAACAGGAACTTGCTCAGATTTCCCACAATATGCAGAGATACCAGGAGAAGAAGGAGAACCTCAAGTAAATATACATAGCACGCTAGACATAAAACATTCATCCCAAGAGAATTAGGTGCTAGTAAAAATCTCCTATTTCTTTTCAGAGCCTGGCGAAGGCATGCCCGTGTGTTAAGTAGATGGTTGCAGTCTGGGGACCATGGGATGGACCCCGCAGAACACGCAATTGCTCAGGAAGTGGGGAATGAACTACAGCAGGTACTACAGTTTATGGTTTGATGAGTTTTCCCACCAACTATCTGGTTTAAAGGAAACTTGTACTGAGAAAATATCGGTGTTGCTGAAAGTACTTGTTACCTGTCTGATATGTAGATCCCAAGTCTTCAGTTCTTTAGACGTAGAACACATATACAGATCAGGAGTTCTGGCTTCACTAGCTGTGTGCTTATTCCAGCTCACATGCCTTAAAGTATTCAGGCCAAAAACATACAGAAGAAGGTTAGCAATAACAACCTTCATAATTCGCCTTTTCATTTAAAAAAAACTTTCCGCAACCAGGCAGTAAAGATCAGTGGAAGCCTGAGAGCAGCGCAGGTACAGGGAAATTAAAAAGCAACAAGATATTAATGTATTCAAAGAAACACTGGAGCTGTGCCAAATCACTCGGTTAACTTAAATCCGCATGTTATATACGCCGCTGTTCACAGTGCCCCTCACAGGTCAGTGACTATTTTAAGGCTTAAATCTTAGGGACTGAATGTTTCAATGCATGAGGCTTTCTGTATGTGAAGAACGAATGTTCTGACAAGAGAGAGAGATTAAGCAATTATATATGTATTGTCTGCACTGTATTAGCAGTATATACTCTATATAGAGTATATACTGCTAATACAGTGCAGACAATACATTTACAATTATACTAACATGAATGTATTAAATGATCTGTATGTAGCCCTGTACTATGGATCATTTAACCCATTCATGTTAGCAGAGGATCATTGTAAATGTATTGTTGCAGGCACTCTATATGTACTTGTACTATATACTACATATAGAGTGCACTGAACAATAGATTTACAATTATCCTCTGCTAATATGAATGGGTTAAATGATCCGTAGTACATGATATGTAGCCCTGTACCCCCTTTTCCACTTACAGAGCTAGGTTATTTTTCTTTTAAATAAATATTAATGTATTTTAATGGTATCTATCTACCAGTAGCTGCCTCATTTCCCACCCTCGGCTTATATTCGGGTCAATACTTTTTCCCAGTTTTTTTGGCTAAAATTAGGTACCTCGGCTTATATTCGGGACGGCTTATACTAGAGTATATACGGTATTAGCTGCTGATGACATCGGACGAGAGGATTCAAGAATAGCATCTCAAGTTTTTATATATACCTAAATATATACAGTGTGTTAGCTAATCCTTAAGTTGGGTATGCATGGTTAGAGTTTTGCATGCACATTCATATGAAATATCTCATCAGAATATTCGATAAAGCCATCAGGGCCTTGATGAATTTTATTTGTTCGAGAAAAATCCTTTCCAAGAATTTCCATCCTGCTCCTTTTGAGTACAAGCATGTCTTATGTTCCTACACTATACTGGCTGCATTTGTGTAGCCAGAGCTGTCCCTTTGGTATTCGCCGCCTGAGCCGATGTGCTGTCGGGGGAGGCAAGGGGGTGTTTTCTGTCAGGGGATGGTCCCAGGGGGGAAGGGTGTGTGCACGCTTATAGCTACTTGGGTACGTGGCGTTGGTTCTGCTGATTTGTCCGAGGAGGATGCTGGACTGAGCGGTCAGCATCTCTCCAGCATTCACCTAAGAGGGAAGCCGCAGCATATCACTGGTTGCTAAAAGCCCTTAGCCACCTTGGATGCTGTAGCCTCCCCCCAATGAGATGCTGCCTTATTATAGGGACTGCCCTGGTTGTAGCAGATATGTCACTTAATAAGTAGTGAAAGATGACAGCCCTAAAGCCTGCAGAACAAGCTCCCAAATTTCTGTTTCTCTTTTAAAGTTCCATGGGTAAAAAAACACAAATATACAATTCTTACGATGTGAAACAATATTTTGTTAGGCTATCCAAGTGTTTACCTTTATGGCACATGACTGTCGGAAGGCACGTGTTTTAGCCGACGTCATGTGCTCATTAGGAGTGTCAGTAGGTCTTAAAGCTTCTTCAAGAAGAACAGTGCTTGTTGTCCACAACATAGATTTTTATGCCTTTTAAAATAATGATATAACAGACCTTTCAGTCATGAGTGGGCAACAATAAAGCGGAAACCTTCTTGCTGCAAAGCTTAAGTGAAGCCACGTGGCAGTCGTCAAGGTTGAAAAGCATATTGTGAATTGAAAGTCATTTTTAAAGTCCATTTCCACCTTTTGTAAGTGGCATTTATTGTGGTAATGTAGAGGTGCAGTGATGATGTATATGTGTGTACATTTTTCATGATTCACATTGCTGGCTTTCTTCATTTTTTTTACAAAGTTTTTTATTAGGCCCGAAGCCTAAAAATGTAAAATGTTCTCCACAGAAATATCAGTCTGATACCAGCGTGTCAGACTGTAATCACCTGCCCCCCTTCCCATGATCACTAAACACCAGCTCTGCCTTTACACACAATACACTGTCAGGAGGTGGGGGAAGATATACACACACATTTCTTGCACAGCACAGAGGCAGACATTTCCATGCGGATATGAAGAGGAAAGGTGTAGGCAAACTCAGCAATCCAGCTGTTGTGGAACTACAAATCCTGCAAGACTGACAGCCACAACTCCCAGAGGCATGAGTGGATTAGTTTTAGCATAGATGGAGTGCAGAGGTTGCCCACCCCTGTCATAAGCTGTAGATGGTGGTACCTTCTAAGAGTGTTGTCAGTCTTAAACAAGACCTTCTCTTAATATACACCGGTGCCTTTTTATAAGCTTCCTTGTTTCCTGATTCCAGCTGGAAAGACAAATTGAAGAATGTGTACAGGAAGTAAATGTGGAGAAGACGAAAGTGCGTAGTTATATTACCCGCATTCAGGAAATCACTGCATCACTGGATGGCTTTTCTTTGCCCATGTTGTAAATAAATAAACTGCGTAAAAATATATTCTTTGCATTTGTTTTATTTCAAAATGTATGCTAATAAATGAGTTATTATGTTAGCAAGATCATTTCGTTTTAGAAGTATAAAATTACTGAGCTACTGCTCCACAGAGCAGAGATTCAATTCCTGCTTATGCTCCACCTCCCTTTTGCTGTCATCCAACCAGAAGAGTGGTGTTCCCTCTTCCATGCTGCTGCTTGTTACTACATCTGACCAGTGCACTAAAGCTGCCTTAGGGTGTAGCACTTCCCTGAGGTTGGCAGTGTCCCTCCAATCGACATCTCCATTCTTATAAAATTGCTGGCAACAATATGTACGTTTCACCCAGAAGGTAATAAAACATACGTAGATAAATATCCCTCAGCGTCTGGTAATGTTTTCTCCGGTGCCAAGGCATCCAGCCATACCTAATGGGGGAAAGGAGTGGAAAGAGAAATGAAGAGCGAGATTAAGAGGGGAGCTGGTGTGAGGTGCAGTAGGCATAGCGGATGGTCTGGATCTGCAATGACATCCTTTGGTGCTGCCTGTGCACATGGCTTGCATAGAGACAGAACTCCGAGTCTCCCAACCACCAAGCACATATGAACAGCTTCCAGGGCATTCTGTTTCAGATTAGCAATACCAGTCCTTTTTAGAGTGAGCCCACAGCCTCTCCAAAGTGGATTTTCTGTCCGGCTTTCACGTTAAATGTGAAATTCTTTGGTGCCTCAAATATTAATACTATGGTGGAACCAAGATTGAATTCTCCTAGCTGTTCTCCTTTTCGCATCACAATGCCATCCTGATTATTGTTCGTTATATAGCTCACGTCATTATGTGACCCTTTGCTGTAACGAGGGCTGTTAGTCTGTAGATCCTGGAATGGAAAAAGAAAAAAAAGCTTTGATTAACCCACAGACCACACTTCTGAGATTAAATGTAAAGCTATCATTACAGAACTGCATTCACTTATGTCTGGCTGGGGTTCAGCTTAACCTCTTGCCGTCCGCCCGTAGTAAAACTAGCGGGCACGCACGGGCAGAAAAGACCCGCTCAATGCACACACCCGTTACCGGATGTTTCACATATAGGCGATCGGCGGGTCCATAGCCCGCCGATCGCCTATATGTGCTCGTTCGCAGCATCTCTGCTTTATCAGCTTCTTTTGGGGTCCATAGGTGATATTAGGGGTCCTAGAGACCCCTAATATCTCCATAAAGAGGACCTGTCAGTGTGCCTTTGCTATTATATAGGGGGTTGTTATCCCCCTATATAATAGCAATAACAATAAGTGCAAAAAAAAAATATAAATAAAAAAAAGGAAAGTAACACATAAAAAAATAAAATAAAATAAAAGCCACATATAAAAAAAGGGGAAAAAACCCCCCCAAAATGTTTAACTCCCCCACCCCCACGTTTACGCGCCTATAAACGTAAATACGCGTCCGGTGCCCCAGCGCGCAAAAATTACAATTGCGCTACACATGTTACATATCGCCGCGAACGTCGCAGTGAGAGCAATCATTTTAGGGCCATCAATCACTGATAACACTAAACTGATGAGCGGTAACAGCTTTTAAAGCGTCGCCTAGGGCCAATTTTGGGTATTATCGTTTTTTGAGGTTTCGCGCGCGCACGCAATTTTAAGGCTTGACATGTTTAGTGTCTTTTTACCCGACGTGACCCCATCTTTTATATTTTACCAAAAAATTGGGTAATAATAAATGTTTTATCATTTAATATAGGGGAAACTGTTTTTTTTTTTAAATTTCGGTAATTTTTCCTTAATATAGTAAAAAAATAAAACCCCCAGTGGTGAATAAATACCACCAAAAGAAAGCTCTATCTGTCCCCAAAAAAGGGTATAAAATTCATTTCAGTACAGCGCTGCATGACGGAATAAATGTCAGTTAAAGTACCGCAGCGCTGAATACTGAAAAATGGCCTGGATGGGAAGGGGGTTTAACACCGCGGATGTCAACTGGTTAAAAAAAAAAAGGAACCTGCCATTGCTGAAATGTTTTGAATGTGTATCAGTACATGCTTATTCCCAAACCTGGGACAAGCAGAAACATATCAGGTGTTGCAACAATTAGGAAAGGAGCGACTCGCCATATAATAATGGATGAATAAGAATGACAGCCCCAAAGCATATACTAAAAAAAAAGTTGGCAATAGCAGCTACTCTATTTATTTTTCAAAGGCTTCTTTTAAAAGGTAGCCACAAAAACATGCTACAGCTGATAATTGTATTACTGCTTTTTAATGAAATTTCAAGTGTGTGTGTGTGTATATATATATATATTATATATATATTTTAGGGATGTCCCGATACTAGAACCAGTAACGAGGCTGATACAGGGCATTTTCAGGAGTACTTGTACTCCTGAAAATGCCCCGATGCATAGAGCCGATACCGGCCCTTTAAATTATTTTCAAAGAGCTTCGTCCATTGACTCGCATAGCCCCTCCCCCGGAATACCTCTCCACCAAACGCAGGCTCCCTCTCCGCTCTGACCTCTCCGGACGGAAGTGTGACAGCGTGGCGGGCGGTAAGTGTTCTGTGTGGACAGTCTCCTCTACCTGCTGGTGCTGGCTGCAGAGCTCTGTGTCCTTTTCACAGACCTCTGGAGCCAGCACGAGAAGGGCGAAGAGACTACGGCTCCCCCCTGCACCTTTAGCTGCTGCTCCTCCGTCCTTCCGTGTCCCCTCCTTTTCAACTTGATGAAACTGTTTGCTTTTGGTGATATATCACAATGTGTGAGATGTCCGTGCTCCTTATGTGTAATACAGTCACCCGACGTACACTGCAGTTTTCACTCTCATTAAAAGAAGAATGTCCGTTCTGTATGCTCACAGGGGAGGAGAGGAGAGAAGCTGTAAATCTTGCCTTCTTTCATTGAGAGGGAAAACTTCTGTGTACGTCTGGTGATGAGTGCATTATTAAACACATAAGGAGCACAGACAACTGACACTGAGATATATCGCCAAAAGCAAACAGTTTCATCAAGTGGAAAAAGAATGGACACTTGTAACAATAGCCAACCTGCTATTGGATATTAAAAATATCCAATAGCAGGCTGGCTATTGCTCTCAGCCACTGCCTGCTGTATTTACATTCAGTGAATCCAGTGAAGTGGAAAGGTGGCACTAGAGGTCTAAAAGACACCTAATGTCACCTTAAAGAGAACCTGTCACCTCCAATGCACACTGCCCTAAAATCATTAGTCTGTATTGTTTTAGAAAAAATGTCATGTCCCTTAAGAAAAAGTATCGGTAATTGGTATCGGCAAGTACATGAGGGACTGTACTTGGTCTTGAAAAAGTGGTATCGGGACATATATACATATAATTACATTTTTGAAGGATACAAAAACTCAGAAAGCTTGGTTATACTGCCACCTTCAGGAGGTTGGGGCAATGGCAAATAAGGTTGTAGGCCAGCCCCTGTATAACCTACTGCTTCCCCATGCCACCCCATACCCAGCTTGCCTTAGTTTTTGCTAGCGTCCTGGATGGCTCTGCTGAGGTGTCTCCCTATTTTTGCTAGTCTGCAATGTGTCCTTGGGGCACTGGGCTTGCATTGCGGAGCTTTCCAGACCATTGTGTACAGTGTTTTTGCCATGGAGCACTTTTTCAGGTTTAGAGCTGTAGCACAGCTTCTGGTGTTACCCCGTTCCCAAGTCTCCCTAAGTAAGGCTGGTCGGGCTAAAGCACTGGGAGCTACCTAACTGTTTGCTCTACTGGTGCGTCTTTTTCGGATTTCCTACCAACCTGTTTTTTTTTTCAAATCTTTTCTCTATCATCCACTGAGGGACACAGCTCTGAAGAATTCTGAACCATAGGGTTATGCTGCTGCCGTCAGGAAAAATGGACACTAGGCAAAACATTTAAAAAACTGCCATTTTAAGATCTTAACCCCGTCCCACCTTGCACCTGCCAGTTTCACTTAATGTCTCTAGGAGAACGGACATCTCCTTCTCTTCTGCTTTTTTATTACTTTTTAATTTTTCTTTCTTTGGTGAGATTCTACTATCAAGAGCTACTAGTTAATTCATGCCGGATAATATTAAATCCCGTATGTTTCTCTAGCTGGCAGACAAAACAGATTAATGCCCAATAAGTTAAATCTTGGAAGTTTTTCCTTCCAGAAGATTCTTTATTCTGATGATGAATCCTTATGGTTTTTGGAAAAAGGATGTTACTCCGCCTGCTGAATTTCAGTCTCCTATGATGTCTTATCAGAAAGAAACTGTGGCCTTTTTAATTGAAGCTGCGAGTTCAACTTTAAATTTAGAAGATTCTGCAGTATCTAGTTTAGATTCTTTTAAACCTGCACGTGTTCGGTTTTTTTCCTTTTCATCCTATCTTTGACACAAAGATTGGGAATCTCTGAAGAAACCGTTTCAGTCGCTTTATTCCTTTCCGGATGATTTTGCTTTTTAAAAAAAAAATGACCTGTTCTTCTTGAGTTTGATTTCAGATTTCTCACCTTAATAGGGCTTTGACTTTTCCTATTGATGACACCCCTTTATTTACAGACCCTAGTGATTAGAAATTAGAATGTCTCTCACTTTGTTCACATGCTTTCCTGGGGGGAAGAGGGGTTGGAAGGTGGGGAAGCTTCCTCTGCTGTTCCAGCTCCACTTAAGGGCCGATCCCCTCCTGTAGCAGGGTGCTATATTCAGAGGAGAGAGTAAATTCCTGCCAAAAACATCTAGTACAATGCTGAGTGTGCGTGCCCCTGGCAAAGGAGATCAGATCTTCCATACGTTCAATTTCACCGACCTTCCTCAGCCAGAGGGGAATCGAAGGGGGTCTGGTCTGCTTCCATAGTTCAGGGATGCAGCTTCTTTCCGCGTTAAGCAGGTGGGGTAGTATGGATTTCTTGTACTGCTTCCGGGAGATGGAGTTACAGTGTAGTAGAAAAAAGGCCGGGTCTATTAGGACCTCCTGAACAAGGCTACGAATTGAGGACCAGAAAGAAGAGAGGGAAGGGC